CGCAAGCACAGCATCGACGTGGGCCTTCTTACCAAAACCCATCTAAAGTCTGGGGACAGCTTCTGGTTGCCTCACCACAACATTATCCGGCTTGATCGCACCAGCTCCAGGGGGGGGGGGGGGGTGTTGGTGTTGCGGTCGTCGTCAAGAAAGGAATAAAATACCACACTTTGTCCCATATCCGCACCTCTATCATCGAGGCCCTTGGTGTGCAGGAGGAGTCGTCGACTGTTCATCGCCGTCTACTGCTCTCGACACTGTGCCGCCAGCAGTGGACTAGCGGCTAAATTCAAGAAGGACCTGTCCACAATCACCCGTAACGGTTCCCGCTTCGTAGTAGGAGGAGATCTAAACGCTCGCCATGAGGCCTGGTGGAACAACCAGCAGAACCAGAACGGTCGTCTGCTGTTCGACCACTCACAGCATGGGCTGTACTCCGTTTAGTTTTCGGATAAGTCAACATTTATCTCACCGGCGGGCAGCCCATCGACGCTAGACCTGTTCCTGACAAATATCGGCTTGTCCAAGCCGGTAGCCTAGAACGAACTCAGCTCCGACCACCAACCGGTGGTGGCTGAACTGGGCTGCAACGTGGCCCCTGCTTCAAGCCTGCGCAAGGACTATCATCGCGTAAACTGGGCCCAGTTTGGATGCGTGGTAGACAGGCACATCATCGACAAGCCACCGCTTGACACCGTGGAGGACATCGACCGAGCGTTGGAGGGACTCTACCAAGCCATAACCGTGGCTGACGAGGCGTGCGTCGGACGAGTTCCTGTGAGGGGTAAATTGATTGCCATTGATTCCCACACCCAACTCTTGATTCGCCTGAGAAATGTTCGTAGACGCCAGTTTCAGAGAACTGGAGATCTAGCGAGGAAACGTGAAGTGGCCGATCTGAACAAAGAGATTGCTTCCAGAATGGTCTCACTCTGGAACGAAAGTTTTGGGCGGCTTGTCCAGAATCTGGACGACCACTCTAGACCATTCTGGAAAGTTGCCAAGGTCTTAAAGACGCACCCTAAACCCATTCCACCACTCAAATATAAAAATGATGACGATCGGCTCATTATCACCCCTCAGAAGAAAGCAAATGCGATTGGTGAGCATATTGTCAAATCGCTCCTGCTTGGCTCCAACATCCAAAGTCCGCTCGAAGTTCAGGTTGAGCAATGCGTACTCAACCTTGATTCCTCCCCTTGTGCCATCCCTCCGGAGGATAGAATCATAGTGGAACAGATTTGCTCAGCGCTGAAATGCACCAAAAGCATGAAGGCCCCCGGGCTCGACGGAATATTCAACCTAGTGTTGAAAAATCTCAGCATGAAGGTTCACTCTCTGCTGGCTGCTGTCTTCAACAGATGCTTGGAACTGCACTAATTTCCAAGTATCTGGAAGACAGCGAAAATCATACCTATCCGCAAACCCGGGAAGGACCCAACGCTAGCTTCAAGCTACAGACCAATCAGCCTCCTTTCAGCGCTGAGCAAATTGTTCGAGAAACTTATTCTAAATCGTTTGCTCAAGTTTGTCGAGGAGCAAAACATTCTCCTACCGAAACAGTTCGGGTTCAGGAAGGGGCACTTCACAAATCATCAGCTAGTACGGGTGATGAATAACATCCGAAGTAACAAGGCTGTATCCAAGTCCACAGCCATGGCATTGTTAGACGTTGAGAAAGCGTTTGACAATGTCTGGCACAATGGGCTTCTATACAAGCTTTGTAACGTCAACTTTCCTTTGCATCTTGTTAAAATCACCCGTAACTACCTCCAGCAAAGGTCGTTTAAGGTATCGTTGAATGGCTGCCTTTCAAACGCGTTCTCCATCCCAGCAGGAGTTCCGCAAGGAAGTCTGTTGGGCCCTTTGCTTTGCAGCATCTACACATTCCCCCCCCCCCCCCTCGGAGACGGGTGCGAATTCTTCCTGTTCGCAGATGATACCGCTATAACCGTCAAGGGAAGGATGTCTCGCGAAATAACGACCAAACTTCAACGATGCCTTAACGCCTTTGCTGATTATGCCACCCCGTGGAAAATCAACATCAATGCCTCCAAAACACAAACAATCATGTTCCTCCATCGGCAATCACCCAAACTAAAACCGGCTCCCTCTTGTACTGTAATTATGGATGGCACAAGGGTTGAGTGGTCCGCCGAAGTAACCTATCTCGGGATGTTGTTTGACAAAAATCTCCTATTCCGCTCGCATGTGGAGAAAACCGTAATCAAGTGTTCCGCCTTGGTTAGGTGTCTGTATCCGCTGATTTGCCGTAGATCCCGCCTCTCAAGGGTGAACAAACTGGCTGTCTACAAACAAATAATAGCACCTGCGATCCTCTACGCAGCTCCGGTGTGGGAATCATGTGCACAGACTCACCATCCCCACGTCCAGTCACGATGTAAAACTTTGGACCGGGAAGCTGCTTAAAATCGAGTTTGACGTATGTTTCGTCATCGATCAAAATGCAACCTTTATGTTTCGTCAAAACACGGTCGTACAAGAGACTTGTACGCTTTTTTTACCACGAAATTCTGCTTCATGTGCCGGTTCGGATGTTTACTGGCTTGGCAGGGACTTGTGTCCTTCCCTGGCAAAGATGTTCCGCACCGTTTGAAAGTTGGCGTTGTACCTTCTCGCCACATTTCGGATCGAAAGACTGGGGTTGGTTTTAACGCACCTCAACACCTGCTGCGCAGCTGATGATCCCTGGTTTCAGTTTTTTCGCTGGTCCGCTGATTCCTTTTCACACTCAGGGTTTCCTCGTAGGTTTTGAGTACTCGATAAACTGTTGTTTTTGGAATCTTCAGCACTTTAGCCAGCTTGGAACCGGACCACTCCGGATTTTCCAGGTGTTTGTAAACAATAATTTTTCTTCTTTCGAGTTTCATTTGACGTTATTTATGAACGCGATCGACTACTTTGATCAAACTTGCACCAGTTGTTATCTATAGAAGTGTAAACATACCACTGTGAAAGATTTTCGATCCCCAACACTAGAGGCGAGTTAGCGGCGCGCGAGGGGTATACCAATTTACTTTTAGTCAGCCTTTAGACTATACCAAACAACTTTGTCGAAGCTGCAACCCACCCTAATGTACATCCTTGGAAAATGGTCATGAAAACAGAAAAACGTAGCAAAACACTGAGATACTTTATTAGAAAATTCATTAGGCATCCCCTTGGATGAAGTGTATATGTAACAGTAGGGTATAAGTTTCTGAACAAAACTGCCCACCCCCTTAAAGATAGTGTTTGAAAAAATATAAATACGGATCCCAAGTTATAATTCAACAGCCTTTTTGGTTATTGTGGTTTTTTTTAACGGCAATAAGCAATATTTTGAGTTTAAACACCGAAACTGACATGAATGACCATAGCAAAAACAATAAAATTACTGACCAAAGCACACTACTGACAAATGGCTCCGTGTTTGCGGGAAATATTTAGGTAAGCCGTGAACCCGCATGCAAAAGTTATGAATTGGTTCGTGTCTGATCTTTTCTGGACAAATTATTTTTATCTAGATCAAAAAATCCTATGGGTTCGACAGTTCGGATCACTGCACATTTAAATCGGCCGTTTACGATTTTCGGGCTTAAGTCAAAATTAAGTGTCCTATCGGTTTGTCGGTGGTTTAAATACAGCATTTACAAGTGTAAAACATTCTTGATTAGTAGTTCAGTTTTATGCTGTTTTGAAAACCTTTTAAAGTCAGACGAGAAAATCAGAAAGTATCTAGTTTTCAAAATGAATTTAATGCAGCACTCTACCCCTTTATAAAACTGTTCAGTAAATCATTCGGCGTTTGTCTTATTGATGTCACGACAAAATACTCCATAAAGGTTATCATAAAAGTTATTATAAAACCGTTCGGTTTCAAACGGGATCAAAAAGCATATATTGATGCGTTTTGGTGTCAATGAAGTGTATCACAAAACCTCCCACTGTTAACAAATAAAACTAAAAAAATGGATTCGCCTAGAGACAGAGAAAAACATAATCGAGTGGGGCTTTCAAAACAACTTTTTAACAAATGGCTTATGGAAAATTAATGTTCATGCTATCGCCATTATATTATTATTCCATTTGCTGTTTACAATCTTAAACCACAATATGAGTTTCGATAATTTAAGTAATTTTTTCCACTTTAATGATGAGGAAATTCATGAGGATTTTTTACAGATTCATTTTTGAACAATGAATTTGGCAAGATCAGACGATATTTATGTGTCCCTTTTTATTTTGATTGATGCTATCCTTTTAGTGCGCAGAACAAGCGTCAAAGGCAAATGGCACAAGTATTGATGCCAAAAGGCTTTTATTGTACTCTTAATAAGGATTTAAAACGGTTCTCAATGCATTCGTCATATAACCTTTTTACAGTAAGTCATTCTTGAAATGTTTCGATAATACACTCTTTAGAACCTTCTTCAAGGAGGGCCAACTAGACAGATTCTAGTCTTAGTGAGGTTTTGGTGGATGTAATAAAGGCAAAGCTATCTTGACCAGGGTTTTATGAATGATGTTTTATAGAAGCCTTGTAGTACTTCATAAAACGTTAAATGTTACTTGGGATGTAAATCATTTAAACGAAGATATAGCGATTTTCTTTCTGCAGCAAAAATTCGCATTTTTAGAGGACTGTTTAACATTAAAAAAGTTGGAAAATTCAAACAAAAAATTTATGGTGAAAAAACGGTTTGTTCTCAATTTTCTCCCTTTAACTTCGTCCACTTGAGAGATAGCAAATTGTCGTGTTGCAAAAAGTTTGTTAAAATGACTTCATATTCAATGTTTCCATACATGTTCATCAATTTTAACAATACATAAGAAAGATAATTTTTTTTAACTGAGTGTATACTCCCCTTACTCAAACATTATAATAAAGGACTCAAAAAATGAAGTTATGTGTTTGGATTCGCTGGTCTCAATGCTTCTATGAGCTGTTATTCATCTCTTATCTCTAATCATTCTCCCTCTCTCATTCGTCCGTTTAGATACTTGATTGAGTCCCCCCGGTGGCTGGCCACCCGAGGACACTATAAACGATCGATGGTGGAGCTGCGGAAGATTGCCGCCGTCAATGGGATCCGCGAGCTGCCGTTCGACGAACATTCGCTCGAGAAACTTCTGTCGCACCGCAAAGTGGAAACCGTTTACGGGATGGCGTCCCTCTTCAGTGGCTGGCGGATGGCGAAAAATACCATGCTCTGCGTCGTTTGCTGGTGAGTAGAAGAACCGTCCACAGTTGGCTTTTGTGGGTATCTCGTCGTTGAGTAATTTCGTGTGCATAGTGGTGTTTATTTTGTGTCAATTTTGTTTATCAAAGTTTCCTGTTGCTGTTGTGTTTGTTCGTACAATATTGTATGTAAAATTGAAAGCCGACGAATTTTTCGCCGACTCGACCAGTCGGGATTTTCCTTTTTTGTCAATCGTAAATGCAGTAAGAATAATGTTTTTTGATACGTCATCTTTCGGTATAAAATACGCCTTGAAAGCGAATATTGGTCAGTGAATTAAAAATAGATTTATGACTTATTACTTACAATTAATTTTTGAATGCGTAATGCGGTTTTGTTTTTTATATATTATATTTCGGTAAAAAAAACTAAAACTAAATCTTATCTCAATATAAAAGGAATTAATCGTTGCAATTGAGGTTTGCAATGATTTTTTCCTGAAATTATTAACTATTTTATTGGACATTTGTTTCAAAAACTTTGGTTTCAAATAAAGAACGAATATGAACAATAATTGCAACGCTACCACCACCGGCTCCATCAAAACGGTCATTTTGATAAATGAAATAATTTGCGTCCCTTTCAACCTTACGGTCAGGTTTAAGAAACGTTTCAGTTATAACGGCAATATGCACGTTATGAACTCTCAAAAAGTTAAATAGCTCGTAAATTATCTCTAAGAAATCGAGCATTCCAATTCAAAATATTTAATGATTTAAAATCCATTACTGAATTTCAAAGTCATGACGATATTGTTCACAAATTTACTTCCAGTTTGAATAGCATCAAACATGAAGTTAGTTTTTAGCATATCAGTAATCATGTTCTACTAGGAGATTACAATCAATCTGGTTTAGTTTGGGACTCTTCAAGAAACGGTCAACCAACAGTAGATGTTTTGCAATCCAACATCTCTGTCGCTTGTGCTGCATTATCGACGGATTTAGTCTTCATGGCCTAACACAAATCAATACAATCGACAACCGTAATGGTCGCCTCTTGGATCTAGCTCGGGTGAATGATACGACACTTGAAAGATACTCGATATCAGCGCCTACAGCGGCCTTTATCTATTCTCGATGCTGATCACCCTCCGTTAACAGTCGAAGTCAACGTTTCTAGAGGTTTCGATTTTGAGGACTTTCCCGAAGATCTAGGTAATGATTTTTGCAGGGCAGATTTCGAAGGAATGGTGGATCCACTTTACCATACAGACGGGCACATTTGGACACTTCCGGAAATGTGAACGATGATGTTGATTGCTTCACTCGGATTATGCATAACATCATTGCTGATCATGTTGCTTTGCGTAGGCCTAGCCCGAAGCCAGCTTGGGGAAATGCACATCTGCGACATTTGAAGCAGCTGAGATCGAGAGCACTTCGGAAATACTGCAGATCTCGTTATCCATTCGCTAAGCAGGTATTCAATCGAGCTAGTATTAGACACGGACATACAATTGCTTCTTGTACAAACGCTACACTCTACGTATGCAAGACAATCTTAGGAGAAAACCAAAGATTTTTTTTGGAAATTCGTCAACTCCATCAAGCGGAAGGCAATCATTTCACCAGTACCTTATCTGGTAAGCGCGAGCAATTCACTAATCACTTCAAGGGTGACTTCAATGGTTCTATGTCATCTCCAGCTCAAGTCGAAACGTCTGTTCATTGGGAAATTTTCAGATTTCTCTCCAACAGGTTAAATCTGCCATCGATAAATTAAAATACTCCACATCACCTAGCCATAATGGTATTCCGTCATGTATCTTGAAGAGATGTTGTGATGCTATGATTAACCCTCTGACTCAACTGTTCAACATTTTCATGCGTGAGCGTAAATTTCACTCCAGCTGGCACTTATGGCACTGGGTGAGGTTTTGGTAATTTCCTCCAGTATTTCTGAGATGTTCCCACTTCACTCGGACATGGAGCATAAAGCTAGCTTTTCCTAAGTCCATAAGTTTGTTTAGTTCACGAGACTTGAAGTGAACTAAATAAAAATCATTAGACATCCCGTTGTGCGAGACGCCAGGACGGGATTTCATTTTCATGTTGATTACTTGGATTGGCACAACTCCAAGTAATTTCGTCAGTTCATATTTGATTTGATCCAGGGATTCACGAGTGGGCAGACCGTTCAAGACAACCTTGAACACACGTTCAGCTTTGGTATCGTTAATAAATAATGTGTGCTACTCCTCAGTAAGATACTTGAGAAGACGTTTGAATCCGTCTAAGGTTTTAGCCAATACACGGCATTCACCCCGACGGCCAATTTTAAGTGAAAACTTAAATTTAACGAAGTTCAAAAGTTCCGTGCGAAAAGCCATTGCCATTGATTCGGGAAAATTTATTAGAACTTTTCCTGGATGATGGATCATTCTCATCATCCGTGTGCATATCAAATTGATTGCTCAAATTAATTTCACCAGAAGGGAGATCCAGAGATCGTCATTTTCTTTTGCTATTAGGCACCATAGCGCCAGTAAAACGTTTATCCAAATCGTCTTCCAAGCAGATTACTATAAGAATCTGAAGGATCGAAGAGGAATTTTCCAAATCGATATCCAAGCAGGATAACCTCGAGTAGGGTTCAAAGAAGGATCGAAGAGGAATAAGATTCGAACAAGGTAAAAAATTTACAGGTTGAGCACTGAAAAGTGCTGTTTGTTGTAGTCTTAGGTAGCAGTAACACTTCCTTCAGCAAAAAACAAATAGCAAGAAAGCACGATGCTGACTGCTTATATATTTCTTTATTTATTTGTTTGTTCGTCATTGGATAAATCGTACACGGAAACAAATCCGATTCCATTTTCATGAATAAAAAATAATGAAATGATAAAAACTTGCCATCCCGTGAAATAGTAACAATGATGCATGATTTCGGGATGGAAATTCATGATTTCATAATGCAGAGGAATCCAGACCACTAAAAGCGTTACACGTACTTGGCAAACCGTGTTCATAAACCGCACTACATAGGTATCTCTTATACGCCTTTTGTCTTCCGTCTTACACGAGTACTGATAGTCCAGTGGTAGAGGTTCTTGGTTTGAATCCAGCCTGATACTTTATTTTATTCTTTTTACATTTTTGTTAAAAGTTAAACCCATGAGTTTAGCTCATGATTGCAACTCGGATGATTCATAATTTTGGGAATGTTTGCTGCATTACGCAAAAGTTGTTCATGATATCATGAATATTATTCATGGTGTATTTTCATAATAAAAAAGTAGAAGGGTCTGTACCTAGGGGCACGAACGGAAGCTTGACGTAGGACCGCTAGTGGACGGAATAAATGTGAAGAGCATTAAGTTCTTTTAATTGATCAATTATCTATTATCTCAACTCTTTCCGTTTTTGAATTGTAGGCGTACCAAATTTGTAGTAATCTTTTTCAAAGAGAAAGTTGATTATGAAAATTAATCAAAATCACTTGCACCCCTGCTTCCAAGTTTGTGTGGTCGTTGGGGGCTTGTGATTCTGAATATGGGGAAACAAGCACAGATAAATTCTATTCCAACTCTTTACTGATGTAAGCTTAATAGGCCCTGAAAAGGGCCGTTTTATTGAAGAGGACATCCATGGCCACTTACGCTTGGCGTGTTTAGTGTAGGTGACAGCATCTTGGACCTCATTTTCCAGGAACACCTTCAGCACACCTCGTAGATCAGACCGGAGATACGTTTGACACCGCCACGGCGAGCCAGACGACGGATGGAGGTTATCTCGAAGAATTTGCGATGACGATTGGCATCTACTTTGCCACGACGAGTCAAAGCCAGAAAAAGAGGAAATTGACGAAAATTTTATTTAGTCTCGGAGTAGTACCAATAGTGAATCCAATCTTTACTTTTCTCAAATTCGGGAATTTTTCCCTGGAAAATCCTGGAAAAACATGAGGCAAATTTACTCATCGCTGAGTTCCTGCACTTTATTTCTTATTTCTGAGATAACTTGGGTCGTTCTCATTCGCCGTGATAGATATCGTCGCCGGTGGTTAGCGTGATTACCTCTCACCCCAGCAGGCCTGGGTCCAATCTCAGTCGGTGCCACCGGCATGTTCTAAGGCATAACAGATCTGGGAGCTGCCTCCCTGGCGTCGGTAGCATTGGAGCTCAGTATGGAAAACAAATCTCGCGTCACTTTTCAATAGGTCCTATCTACATTGATCTCTCTTCATCGACACTCTCTTTCGTAAATAACTCGGCTTCACAAATGTTTCCTGCCGTCTTCGTCGAATTAGATGCTAGATTGTTGCTTCCATCGAAAATATCCGGCCGTGGCGATTCAAAATTGATCAAGATAATTTGTATCCCTGCTTCCAGTTTGATTACATGAGCATTTTGTGTCGTCGTTGGTTCTGAATATGGACAAACAGGCAGATGAATTCTATTCCTACTCTTTACTGTAATAAGCTTGGTGGCCCTGAAAAGAGCCGTTTTGTTGCCAAAGTTGGTGATGATTTAACCTCCGAAACCAAACAGAGTACGTCTCTGTCACTTCAAAACGTAGATGACATCCATGGCCGCTTACGCTTGGCGTGTTTAGTGTAGGTGACAGCATCACGGATCTCATTTTTCAGGAACACCTTCAGCACACCTCGTAAATCAAACCGGAGATACGTCAGACACCTCCACGGCGAGCCAGACAACGGATGGTGGTTATCTTGAAGAATTTGCGTTTGGTTCTGAATGATGAGTGTGCAAAATATTACGCAATTCCATCCTCCCTAGTCGCACGCGCCCGAGGATCGGAGGCGAATGCCACTTCGACTTGTTTCGTCTACTTACTACTCTCTGACGACTGTGCTTTGGAAGCAGCATATGCATGTAGGTAATTGGTGGATTTGTTAGTTAATTCGACGCTTTTGGACAATGCTAGACATTTACCAGTTTTTCAATAGTTTCTTGTTGAAAATCAACATTCGGAAGCATTGTTATCGGTGCTAGCCATATTTTTGATCGATTGGCGATAAAATTA